CCCCCACACACACACACACACACACACACTTGAACACCCCCTTCCTGCCCTCAGCCCCAACCAGAAGCCTCTGCGGCTTCTGGCCTCGTGCTCCTGGAGCTGTTCCCACTCCCTTTGTCCGAGTGGAAAGTAAGGGAGGACTGGATGGAGGGAGTGGCTGGAAGTGTCGGTTGTGGGGAGCGGTGGGGGCTGCAGGGAGTGGTGCGGCAGCAGTGGGGCCCGTGGGGAGCAGCATGGGAAGTGGCAGCTGCACGGAGCAGTGGAGCCCATGTGGTGCGCAGCAGACAGCAGAGTCTGGGCGGGTGGTGGGATCTTGTAGTCAGTGGAGCCTCCGTGGGCACTGGGGCCATGGCGGGCCCCAGCAGGCAGCACAGTGGACCCCGACAGGTGACAGAGCCACAGGCTCCAGCAGGACCCAGTGGGTGGCAGAGCTGTGGCAGGACCCAGCAGGCAGCAGAGCAAGGATGGGTGGCGGGATCCGGTAGGTGGTGGAGGCCCAGTGGGCCCCAACAGGCAGCAGAGCTGCAGCCAGGCTCCAGCAGGTGGTGGGGAGGTGGCAGGCCCTGGGAGGCAACAGAGCAATGGCAGGTGGCAGAGCTGCAGCGGGCCCCAGCAGGCGGTGGGGTTGTGGTGGGCCCCAGCAGCTGGCAGAGCCGCAGCCAGGCCCCAGCGACCGGTGGGGCCACAGCAGAACCCATTGGGCAGCAGAGCCGCGGCCGGGCTGAGGCGGGACCCGGCAGGTAGCAGAGCCTCAGCAGGCAGTGGTGTTGCGGCAGGCCCTGGTGGGCGGCATAGCCATGGGGGGCCCCAGCAGGTGGTGGAGCCACGGTGAGTAGCAGGGTCATGGCAAGCAATGGAGTTGCAGCAGGGCCGCAGCAGAGCACTGCAGAAAGCAGGGAGCTGCAGGGAGCAGCAGGCAAGCCTGCAGGAGGGTATGCAGGGAAAGGCGGTGGCAGGCAGGAACATGGAGCCCATGCAAGTGCCCTAGGAGTAGCAGGGACCCAGGGTAGGGCTGCAGAAGTGCAGAGCCTGGGCATGGGGTCTGCCTGGCTGAACTGTGTGAAGCTCATATGCAGTCTGCTAGAGCTGCACGCTATGGAGCCGGCAGCCCTGCCCTATCTCAGCACACACCCAGCCACAACCCACCACGCACGCACACACACACACACACACACACACACTCCCCAACCATACCCCACCACTTAAACCCCCTTACTGCCAACACAAAACACACAGCAGGACTGTATTTTCAGCTATTATAATACAGCCACCTCTAGATATACTTTTTGTAAACACAGAAATCAGTACAAAAGTATTTTTAAATAAAATTAAGTAAGTTACAGTAGAGAGAGAGAGAGAGAGAGAGAGAGAGAGAGAGAGAGAGTGTGTGTGTGTGTGTGTGTGTGTGTGTGTGTGTGTGTGTGTGTGTGTGTGTGTGTGTCTTTTTCCCAGTTTCCAGATTGCAGCGCCCTTCCTCCCAAAAGGAGTACTTCCAGGGCAAGGGGAAGGACTTCCCATGGCAAAGGTAGGAGTTAGGGGGTAGAACTTCTGGTCCCAATATGGAGATAAGGGGCAGGACAACTGTCAAGGGGCAGGGCTACCCATGCGGCCCTCGACAGCTCCCCAAAACTTGGTAAGTGGCCCTCCGCCTGGAACAGCTGCCCACCCCAATATCAGGTATGGGCTAAGCCATAAGGAAGGATTCAGTTATTTGCTCCATTCATTCAAAACCCCAGGAAGGGGTCAAGATTGGCTTCTACGCACAGGTACACTACAGAGCAGGCACAGAGCAGGCAACTAGGTTTCCACAAATCTGCATTTGTGCTCAGTCACATGCAAGCATGAAGGAAGATCCATTCAAGATCAGACCTCAAATGCTCTGTGGACAGATCCTTTCTCTGCACCATTTACTTACAAGGGTTCTAAGCTCCTCTAGGACTCTGAATTCATCTTTGACTTGTACAGCATGGGCACTTGACTAACCATATCAACAGCTGTCTTCCTATGGTGGACTTTAGGACTGGGGCACTCTAAGCCTGCTGATTCGACAGCCATGTCCGTCGTGGAAAGGAGAGGGCTTGCATTCATTCCACAACTGTCAGTGAAATGAACTGGAAGGCACTGACTGAACAGACAAACATAATATATCAAAGCTGAATGTATAGCAGCACGTTGCATTTAGAGTCTCACAACGTCTATGTCATTCAGAGAACAAAGCAGGGATTCCTCAAGCATCCAGCTTTTTAGGAGCATTAGTGCCACGGAAAGACTGGAAGAGAGACTGGTGGCAGCATTTCATTTGGCGGGCAGGAAACTGGGCAAAGACATTTGCAACGCGTCAGGCAAAAATTCCAAGGCTTTCTTCGTTTTTTAAAATAAGGGCAGATAAAAACGGAACAAGAAAAATGATTACATTGTCAATCCTGCACATACCTATGTGCTGAATTATATGCCCAGGAGTCATTCATTGAAGTCAATGCAGAGCTCTCAAGCATGTGGATAAATAATTGCATGATCCGGACCTAAACAGAAGAATGTACGTCTGAAAGAGATCAGTGATTACTCTGAAAACTGGAGTTTCTCTGTTCTCTGAAGAACATGACAGAATATGAGATTCTGGCAGGGGAAAAGGGACATGATCACTGAAACAAGACTACACGGGGGAAAAAAAAACCCCAGCTGACGGGATGAGTGGGTAAACATGAAATTACCTTCTGATACTTGTGAGGACACTGCACATGCAAGAGAAAGAGAAGAGAAGAAACAACAAAGGCAAAAAAAAAAGATGAGCTGAAGTGCCTGAGATGAAGACTTGGTGTTTAAAAAAGGCTTTGAAGTTGCATAACACTTTACATTATCTGTTTTATTTTCCACCTTCAGATTAACAACAGTAATAACTTCAACATTAAAAGATATTCATGTTGGGGAAGGGGAGATAGGGAAATGAACGTAACAAGTTGTTACAATCTAGCTGCTATTGCTCAGGTCAGGTACCCGGTCTGGAAGGGTGAGCTGGGGTCTGAACGTCAGAAAGAAAAGGGGGAAAAAAACACTGCTAAAACATGGTCAGGGTGAGAGCAAGTGCTTCTTCCTTTTTGTTAAGAGTTTCAGATGCGAGGCCCATCTCATCAAAGTGAAGTGGAGAATGTTGCTCTTGTGATTAAAAAAAAAAAAAAAAAGGATGCCTGGATGTGTGGGTTTTTTAATTAAAGAACACTGCCTGTCCTACTTTATTAATTGGTGTATGGGAAATAATCTATCAGTATGGTAGGGAGTTTGGGGAATAGGACAGATGGAGCTGGTGTGCATTTTCAATCAAAGCACACAAAAATTAACATACAGAAAGATTTTCCCCCCCTTTTTTTTTTGCTAGATTACTTATGCTTGATTTTTTTTTCAAAGCCTTGAATTAAGCCTGTTCTGTATCTCTGTGCCTCAGGAAAGAAGAAAAGAAAGAAAATTTATAGTGTTTGTAATGCTGGAACTTCAACCCCCTCTCTTTCCCTTATATTTTAATATTGCAAGATCGTTCTCTCCTGAACAGAATTCCAAGGGTCCTTTTGCCAAGGAGATAACACCAGTGGGCTGAAAGGCAGCAGGAAAATACAATTAAAAACCTGAAAGTAAAGTTTAGTGTTATAGGCGTATTCTGAGATGCTGCCAAAAGGCTTTATCCAGCTAGATGGGACTTGTCCCCAAGGCAACCACTAAGGTACCACCGCCTGCTCTGGATTCTCTTAAGCTCTATGTGATGGCTCACTTCAAATTTAAGTAGGACAGCAGAGGTTGTGCAGAGCCTGGCAGTGGAATCGCAGCACGCTGGCATCAAAGGCAAAACTCCAATCGACTCCAATAAGGACAACGCCAGGATATCAGCCCAGCCCAGATCTTCAGCTGGTATAAACTGCCACACGTTACTGATTTCTATCCAGCAACGTTGGTTTACACCAGTGGAAGTTTTGGGCTGTGTTGCGACTCCTCCCCAAACCTGCAGGATTCTCTTGACCTGCTTCCACGTACAGTAGCTGGTTTGATGGTACAACTGAGCCTGTTCTGGGAAAGGGAATCCACTGGCACCCACTCAGCCAAATAGGAGCTGGGATACCCAGAGATAATGGGGGAAGAAAACCCAGGGTAATGGTGGACCAATTCAAGATATCCTAAATACTGACCAGGAGCATGGAGCACCGTGGGCCAGCACTTCTGCAAGAGGCAAGAAGCAAACAGTAAAAAAGGAAGGAGACAGGGAGACCCAGTGAACCTCACGTCATCTCAGTGTCTGAAGAAGACCTTGCTTGTTCTGAAGTAGGATATCCCCACAATGCACAGTGCTGGTGCAGCTCTGGTCCTGGAAGTCAGCTATAAACCACCCATTGACTTCCATGACAGCAGGCTTAGGCCAGTCTATATATGGTACTTATCTGGGACCCAGAGACACATTATCAAAGTGCCTTCCACTGTACCAGGGACACAGCCAGGGTTTTCAGCATCCACTTGTGTGCTTCTCATTGGCATCTCATTGGAGTGCGTGTCTGGGAATCTCTCTGCCTAAGATAACGTTACTTACACAATCCCATTGCTCGAGCATTTGATTGCCTCTTTGTCTTTAAGTATCTTTAAGTCCTCACAACATCCCTCTGGGTTAAGAAAAGTTGCTTGTTTCACTCTATTTTATAGACCAGAAACTACGACTTAGAAAGTCTCAGTGACCAAACCAAGGCTTAACAGGGAGTGTGTGGTGAATGTGGCTCTGCCCAGGCTGGTATCCTTACTACTGACTAGTGCTGGACCCTTGTAAGGAAGTATATTGCTGAAGGCTGTCCAGGGAGTCGATTATTTGTGTGTCTGTTTTATGATCACACAGTCCAATACTGCTGCCCGTTGGTTATGCATCAGCATCACTGCTGAAATCAATAGGAACCTGCACAATTGGTTACAAGAAAATAGGACAAGGCCTTCAAGGTAACGTTTTCATAACTGGTTAGGTGATTTAGGAGCCAAAGTCCCACTCAGTAAGGACAGATGGTTGAAAAATTGTATAGCGGTAGCAAGCTGTTATTTTAAAATGCTGTTAACTGTCAGAAATGACTTAGATTGCCTAAGTCGCTTAAGTTTTGTTGAAAATGTTACCCTATCTAATTCTGAAGCTAAATATCCATGCCCCCTTCACAAGCATCTTTTAGCTAGAATAATTTGAGGGGAAAACCTACTTGGTTTTCTCCCTTTAAATAAGAGACACAATCACATAAAAATTACAGATAATCTTGGGGAACAGAATGAGTTGTTAAAAAAAAAAATCAAACCGATTCGTTATATAAAAAACATGATGCCTCCAGGGAATAAGAAAGTGAACTTGGTTCTCTGCTACACTGCTCCAGGTGCAGTTATTTATATCAGTTCAAATGTTGGATTAAATGCCCCAAAATCGGGACTGGGAGGAGGAGCAGGCACTGAGTGGAGAATCAGGCACAAACCAAACCCCAAATGAGTAACGTAACTGTACCCAAATAAAGAAATAATTTCATGGAATGATTTCTCTCTCAAACTATTTATGCCTGGGGTGTTCAACCCCCAGCCCCGGGGCCAAATCCAGTCGGCAGTGCTCCCTCTTGGTCCAGAAATTTGGTGGCAGGAGCATGGTAGCAGCAACTGTTGCTTCCCTGCTGCCAAATTTCTGAGCCCACTGGGAACCCCATGGATCTGAACATGTAGGCCAGGCAGAGGCACCCCAGGGCCCAATTCAGATGTGCTGGGATGGGCAGAGGCAGCATGGGACTAGTGGGGGCAGGTGGAGCCCAATCCAGATGCATGGGAACAGGGACCCAGTGTGGGGCCTGATCCTGCTGCCCAATCTAGCCCTATATCGTTCATTTAGCCTGTGGGGGGTCAAAAGGTAGAGCAGCACTGATTCATTCATTTAAAGTTTGCCATTCCTTTAGTTTGGATAAAAGGCAACTTAGTTTTCCTTTTGTTTAAAGACCCTTTTACTAGACTTCCTTTTACATTTTTGCAATGCGGCTTTGGGAAGAAAACATTGCAAAGGCATGTTTAAATATAATCAAAAGAAACACTGTCTTTACTGATTTGCTTTTTTAATGTCAAGGATGCATTTCTGTTCTTCTTAGTTTTATTAAAACCTGGCTTTTGTACAAAAAGCTGAAGTAAAATGATGATGACAGCATCCCTTTTATTATGCATTTTTATTGTCTATATGTTTTACATTTTACAAATGTGTCTATATACTTTAAATTTTATTATGGCAAATGAAATATGATCATAGTAAAAAAAAGCAATGAACATGTAAGCGTGCATCTATCATAACCACATGTGTAACAAAATGGATAACTGAATAGACTAGTAGAGCTGTCTGAATTTTTTTGTCATTTTTTTCTGGAGGAAAAATTGCCCTTTTGGTTTACAAGAAATTTGAGTAATAAAAATTCCTTTTTTTTTGTAAAAAAAAAAAATTAGCTTGTTGAAATAACCATTTTTTCTGCATTTTACACAAAATCATGAAACATTCTGTGGCCATTTTTCAACAAAACAAAAATGTTTTCTTCATGGAAAATAAAATAAAACAGGCTCCCCCAGTGGCTCTGCAGATTTACATTATTTCCAAATTGGTTGACAGAGTAAAAGGTTAATAATCCTGCTAACAATCCTGCATGCCAGTGCAGTGCACCTAAATATAACGAGGCAGGTTAAACTATCCGTGAATGGAACAAGTAGTTTCATACCAGGATAAATACAATTTTGTGTTACTTCATCATCATGTCTGTGTAACACTGCTGAAAACACTGCTGGTGTAATAGTTTCAGCCAAGCTAAGCTGATGCGACTTCTCTATAAATGTAGTAGCTTGTAGGTAACCACTTTGGGTCAGATCCTGTTCCATCTACCACTAGGCATCTAAATCCCCAAGACTGAGCGAGTCTACTCAACCTGATTTGAGTACCTGAAAAACTATTAATGCATCTACTTTTGTAACATGCCTTCACCTTGAAGGAGAGGGAGGAGGAGTCAATCAACCTTTTGCCCAACAGCCTAGTGCAGTGATCAGCAAAGTTTTCTAGTGGTGGGCTGGAATGACCCAGCTCGGGTCTGAGGCAGACCAATGCGAGGAGTTGCCCGCTGCTGCTTTTCCCCACTGCTTGAATGTGGCACAACACAGGGGAAGCCCCCAGCTCCACAGGCCAGATTCAATGGATCTTGCCCACTCCTGGTCTAGTGATTAAGGCACTTGCCCAGGGCATGGGAGACCTGTGTTCTAGGTCCCAGTTCAACCAGGAAATTTGATCCCCATTTTCTGCTTGCCAGAAAAGTACTGTATCCACTAAACTATGGGTTTGGGCAGGACTGAGAGCGTCTCTCATCCCTCCTGTCGAGGCTGAGCCCTAGGGTGGACAAGAGGGAAGGAGAGAAAAAGCAAGACAGAGCCCGTCTCTGCGGCACGGGGGCAGGGGCGGAGCGGGGGGAGGCCTGAGCTCTACTCTCAATGTGCTGTGTGCATTTTGAATTAAATAGCTCTTGGATGAAAAGCATAAACTACAGCAAGGAGGGGCTGAACTCAGCTCCCTTTCCCCGAAGGGTACATACACCTCCCTGGCCCTGCCTGCTCTCCTTCCGACCCCACGACTCCAGCACTCTTTTCCGAGCAATGGCTCAGCTTTCACAAGAGGGGCCTGTCAGTGACTGTATGATCTGATCCAGTGACTGCCGGCTCTTCCACTGACAGCGGATCAAGCTCTCTAGCAATAAAGGGACCTTAGGGAGCGCTTAAGCTTTGGGCTGGACTACAGTCCAGAGCTGAACGCCACCCAGCTGGACTGTTAAAGCCACATGTCTGAACCATCATTTCTTTGCTGGCCTGCGAGCGGATTTCTAAATGTTTTCCCATGCGTCGGATATGCCATCCCTAAAATGCACCATCTTCAACGGAAGCGGGCCAAGAGGTGGAAATCAGAAGGTAGGAGGCAGAATCTTGTTGCCTGCATCTCTGCCCTCTTAGCAGCTGAAAATGCTTTTTTAAAAGCAAAGTTGCTGCATTTTTTATAAGCAACTTTCTTCAACTTCTTTGAGTTCTGGGATATTTAAAAACTGGGCAGGAGACTGTGTGATTATAAAAGTGGATAGGAAAGGATACATTCTGTGATGCTGCTTCCCCAGTTCTTTTTCAATTCCCTTTGAGCTCTGAAAGCCTGTCTTAACTACAATGCAGCCAATCTTCACAATCAGGGCCAGCGGAGATATTGCCAGATACAGCCAGGAAGCTACAAGGTTCCTACTCTACCTTGAGCAGCGTAGGCACTATTGGGATGTCCAAAGCCGACCTCGAAGAGACAGGACAATAGAAAACTGACTCGTTTTAAAACAAGTCAGGACAAGCCGAGTTGGGAACGTCAAAGGCCAGTACACATGGGTATTAATTCTTTATAGGTTCAAATGGAGAAAGCACTGCACTTTGCTTGGGATATGGATTAAATTATAAAACACAAAATTCTGCTGGTGACCTGATGACTTAAAACCAATACAAGGTAATCTGTTATGTTACAGGAAACATCCAAGATGCTTCTTAAAGTGTTTTTAATCCCATGCACAGAAAACAGTATCTCATCTCTTTTTCTGCTCTCCTCCAAGCACGTGGTCCGCTGTCTATCCGTATTTTCCTCTGACATTCTAGCTACTGCCCAAACAGGTACACGGAGGACAAAAAACCTCACGCAAAACCCTATACATTCTTTTTTGAAAAAAAAAAAATTCCTAGTGAGACGTCAAATTAATCAGAGCCCTGGCTCCAGGATATCATAACTACTTGTTACTCAACCCAGCCATTGTTCACAGTACTAGTTCAAGAAAGGAACAAGTTTTTAAGCAAAAGTTAAAGAGATCTGTAGAGAACACTAGATGTTTGCTCCTCAATCCATGCTGAACTCTGGGCACAGTAAAACCATTCCAGTTCTTTAAGTACCAATATTAGAGATTTATACTACAGAACCTAAAATGCTGCTCTTCTAGAGATCTTCTTCTAGGAGATCTTTATTTTTACACTGGGCATTGAGCAACTGATAGGCAGCAGTGGCATCAATACCAGTCTGCAAGCTCAGGCGAAGGCAGCTAGACTCCAACCCAGGCTTGCTTGCTGTGCCCCTTGAAGCAGATGCAAGTTCAACCAGTGCAAATTGCAGCTTTCCTTCTCGACACTGGAGATTCATCACCAGCACAGCAACCCCAGTCACTGGCCACCAGTGGCTGAATTGGGGCGAGTGCCAAATATAGATAAAGTGCTAGTGTTTGTTCTGAGACTCTGAGAGAATGAAATAAAGGCTATATCCAAACCCCAAGTTTCCCATTGGACTTTATCCTATTTATCCCAGCTGGTGGGCTAGATTAATGCCAGCCGTGAAGGAACAATACTGAGCTGTGCTGTGAAAGCAACTGAGAAGAAACAGAGTAGCATTCTGGGAGAAGGAATTTATATTTTTAAATGCTAATAAAAAGATAAGCAGAGTTGTGCTAGTGAGTCAGATCATCTTGGGTTAAAACACAGCTGCACTCACGCAGATTTTCAGAGACAGCAAGGAGCAGCGGTGCAAGAGTAACCCACTCCAGTCCTGACACATGGTCATTATTTTGGAGATTCAAGGCCACTCAAACACCTTCCATCATCTGTGCCAAGGGGTTTTTACAATGTGAGCGCAGGAAAGAAAAAAATAAAAGAGGAACAAACCTGGCTTCCAATTTTAAGCTCTCACTTTGTGTGGGTGTTTTTGCCTATTTCTATTTTTCCTTCCTTTTTGAATGCCAGATAAAAAGTAATGGCTGACAAAACGCAGCGGATGAAAACCAAGTTCCTTCTGGCATTATCACACCACCTTCAGACTTGCTCAATGGGTTGCTGCTGAATTGGAGTGGAAGGGGCATGTTTTGCCTTCAGACAGTACAGCACCGCAACTGCCCAAGAAGCTCAGTGCAGCAGTGGTCGGAGGAAATACCGAAGCTACGGAGGATGTTACATTCCAGCATTTCTTGGTCACTGCCTTGAGCACACACCGTTTCTCCACACGCAGACCCATGAACAGAGCCTCTGTTTCCACTATGCTGTCTAATGCTTTGTGCTGTTCGGTACCAGCCCCACAGAATACGTAAGCAACCCGCAGGCCTTTGTTCGGATGACAGAGACCCCGTGTTGATCAAGCAGAAACACTCACTCTCCCCCCGCTGGAACCTTCTTCTCTCCTAAATCTGCTAGCTAACGTCAATGGGTGTCAGTGCTGGACGCTTGCGGAACAGCAAAATACATGAACTAGAGGCCAACTGTTTTTATCAGTGTCTTGTGGAACTGCATCAAATGCACTGAACAAGCAAATCATGGAGCACATTCAAGGGGAAATTAGGTCAATGGCAGCCTTCCCCAAACTGATGAAGTAAGCATGTCATTAAGCCCTTGTAACTTCTTGGCTAGCTATAGAGACCTCATCGTTACATTACTTAGACAAAAAGGCATCACCTCTTACCAGGTTTGGGGATGAGTCCTTGAAAAGGCCTGGAAAATACAAGGAGAAAAGAATATTTAAAACGAACCAAGGCAGAAAGCAGACTGACGGCTGACATCAACTGCAGTTATTGTTGGTAATATTCCTTTGGCTGCCTGTTAGTGCCAAGAAGATCTGCACCAAACCAAGGGTCCAACAAGGTGGACTGTGTACACTCGCACATTAAGATACGCCCCCTGCTCTGGTACGTCCATGCTTTCATTTGACACAGGACCGGCACTGTGGCTTAGGGGAAAGAGCACTGAACTGGGTTTTTTGAGGTCTGGTTTCCATTGCTAGCTTTAACCACTGGAAATCTCGGGTGATCTTAGACAAGACACATCCTGCCTCCGCTTCCCTTCCCACCGCCTGTCTGCAACAGGAGTGTCTAGATTACAATGAGACTCATCTCTGTGGGAACCAGCCATAGGCACTGCTGTGAACCTACAGCCTCACGGATAGCACCTCTCATCAGTAGGTCCCAAAGCATGTTACAAAGGATGTCCATCCACATCTGCACACCTATATTATAGACAGGGAAAACGATGCACAGAAGAGTGAAATGGAGGCT